TTGTTATTTCTCTCTTGCTTGCTTATATAACGTCTCTTTCCAAAATCTCTCTCTCAAAAATCTCTCTCTGTCCTCGTTTTCTAAAACCTTCTCTTAAAATCGAGGCCAGAGGCTCGAGCATACGTCGTTTGGCCGTAGGCGACGTAAGAACGAATTGGCTTAGCTCACTTGACGTTGGAAAGTGAGTGTCACACAATCGCAAGTCTGCTACCATTAAAAGTGCGATTGTGACAAGTGGTATTAGAGTTTTGTAAGCTCCGTGAAATAGCAAAGACCGAAAACATGTCGACGACAAAGACGACACCCAAATCACAAGCCGACCGGCTTACTTTAATAGAGGAGGAAATGTTGTTTCTCAAAGAAGTCCCTGACACCCTTCGCTTCTTGGAAGCACGGGTGAAGGAATTGAGTGGAAAAGTCGTAGTGATCGACGCAATGGGCAACCGCCTGGATAAGTTTCCAATCGCAGAACAGATGTTTCTAGTGACCTCACTCGAAGAAAAAGTTGCTCCTACGAGCAGCCCAAGACCGTCTGGTAGATCCGATAGCTCTGTCGCGCACAAGGAGGGACGTGGTGAAGAGTTCAACGTGCTACAAAATACAATGATGGGTTTGTTCAATGGATTAGCTGACGAATAAATCGATGACATCCAAGGAAAGATGTCCACCATGAGCACCTGTTTCGAGGTGACCATGAAAGCCGTGGAGAACGTCTCGGCTGGGCAAACTAATACAGGATCCAAAAAATTGAAGTTCTCAGACCCTAGACCTTTCAAAGAGAACCGGGATGTCAAAGAGTTGGAGAACTTCATCTTTGATGTCGAACAGTACTTCAAAGCCACACCGACTTGTACCCACGACATAAAGGTGGCAGTAGTCTCGATGTATCTCACAGACGACGCAAAACTTTGGTGGCGTACGAAGGTGCAAAATATCGAGGATGGATTGTGCACCGTAGACTCGTGGGAAGAGCTCAATAAAGTGTTGAGGGGACCAATTCCTCCCCGAAAACGTAAACCATCTAGCAATAGAAAAACTAATAGACCTAAAGCAAACTGAAAGCATAAGGGACTATGTCAGACAATTTTCGACCCTAATGCTAGATATCAAGGGCACATTAGAAAAGGACAAGATGTTCTTTTTCATAAATGGGTTACAACCGTGGGCCAAAACAAAAGTACACGAGAAAAAGATTCAAGACCTAGCTACCGCAATTGCCAGCGCCGAGAGACTCCTAGACTATGGGAACGAAGCAGGTTACCAAAGAAAAACAACACAAGCCCCAAACACTGGGGGTAAAACATATAAGTTGTCAGGTCATCGAAATGGAAGCCCCAACAGGCCAAACGGAAGTAATGACAGACCAAGCGGGTGGACAGATAGACCTCCTTAGAACAACCAAGCAGGGACATCTCGAGGTCCTTACCCTCAAAGGAACCACCCGACGACACCTTTACAATACATATTGTGTAAAGGCCCCCACAAAGTGTCCTACTGTCCTCAATGGGCCTCTCTCACTACACTCCAAGTGTCCATTCAAGAGAGCAACGACACAAGAGTCAAGACTATGCTAGACAAGAAGGAAGATCAAGACAACCCCTGAATGGGTACGCTCGAATTCTTGTCAGCCCTCCAACGGAAGGCCGACCCGAAGGAGATAATAGAGAAAGGGCTCATGTTTGTTTATGCGACAATAAACTCTCGACTGAGCAAGTGCACTTTGATAGACTCAGGAGAGATTCACAACTTCATCGTCGATCAAGAAGCACGAAGATTTGGACTCACCATAGAAAAAGACCCTTGAAAAATGAAAATTGTCAACTCCGAGGCCTTGCCTATTGTGGGAATTTCCAAAAGAGTCCCCTTCAAATTAGGGGCTTGGACAGGAAAGCTGGACCTTGTCGTAGTCCACCTAGACGACTTTGACGTGGTACTTGGGATGGTGTTCCTCATAGAACACAAAGTTATCCCAATGCCACTAGCGAAATGCTTGGTGATCACCGACTGCAACCCCACAATAATACCTGCAGGCAACAAGCAGCTAGATAATCTTAGAATGATCTCGGCTATACAATTGAAAAGAGAACTCGCACGAGAGGAACCTACATTTATGGCTATACCACTGATGGAAGAAGTGACCACTGAAGAAACTATCCCAGACGAAATCAAGGAGGTACTAGATAGTTATGCTGACATAATGCTAAAGAGCTTACACAAACATTACCACCTCGTCGAGGCATTGATCACGAAATTGAACTCCTTCCAGGGGTTAAACCCCCAGCGAAGAACGCATACCGAATGGCTCCCCCTGAGCTAGCTGAATTGAGGAAACAACTAGATGAGTTGTTGACGGCAGGATTCATCCGCCCAGCAAAGGCACCTTACGAAGCCCCCGTTCTATTTCAGAAAAAGAAGGATGGGACGTTGCGTTTGTGCATAGATTATAGAGCCTTAAACAAGGTGATGGTACGCAACAAATACCCACTACCGATAATACCTGACTTGTTCGACCAACTTCATGAGGCCAAATACTTTACGAAATTGGACTTACGATCAGGGTACTACCAAGTATGTATCGCTGAGGGGGACGAGTCCAAGACGACGTGCGTAACAAGATATGGGACCTTCGAGTTCCTAGTAATGCCATTTGGCTTGACAAACGCCCCAGCTACGTTTTGCACGTTAATAAACCAGGTTTTCTATGAATACTTGGATCAGTTCGTCATAGTATACCTCGACGACATAGTTGTATACAGCACAACCCTAGAGGAACACAAACATGCATCAACTTCCTTGTTCATGTCATCAGTTGTGGACAGATCGGGAGGGATAGCGATAAGATAAAAGCTATCCAAGAGTGGAAAGTCCCTACTTCCATACCCGATGTGCAGTCCTTCTTAGGATTAGCAAACTACTACAGGCGGTTCGTCGAAGGGTTTTCACGACGAGCCGCCCCCTTAACGGAGCTCCTGAAGAAAGACCACCCTTGGTCGTGGTCAAATAAATGTCAAATGATCTTTGAAGATCTGAAGGCAACCATGACGAGGGGTCCTGTCCTCAGGTTAGTAGATGTTACAAAGCCATTTGAAATAGAAACTGATGCGTCCGACTTTGCCCTAGGCGGTGTCCTTATTCAAGAAGGCCACCCCATCGCTTATGAAAGTCGAAAGCTCAATGATGCCAAACGGAGATACACTGTCACCGAAAAAGAAATGCTGGCTGTAGTCCATTGCCTACGAGTTTGGAGACAGTATCTCTTGGGATCACAGTTCATAGTGAAGACGGATAATAGCGTCATCTGCCACTTCTTCGATCAACCAAAATTGACGAAGAAACAAGCCTGATGGAAGGAGTCGTTGGCGGAATTCGACTTCAAATTCGAACCCAAGGCAGGGAAGGGTAATCAAGCAGCCGATGCGCTGAGTCAGAAGGGCGAACATGCGGCCCTGTGCATGTTATTCGTATCATTTCATGGACATACCTTAGTCATATTCAAACAACTGTGTCTACCAGCTGTCATCGGTCATCTCTGCTTCCTTTATAAACCCCCTTTTCCTTTCTTATTCTCCTCTCTTGTCTTAAATTAATTGATTCTCTCGATTAGTTTCTTTTTTGGTTGACTTTTTTCGTGTGAATTCATAATGAGTCAACCAAATCGTGACGCCGGTGGTGGAGAAGGGATCAGAAGAAGATCTTGTGATTGTTCGAAGCAAGATTTTCTACTTGATGAGTCGTTTAAGAGTTGGGGAAATTACACTAAAGCGTTGAAGGCGACGCCGGCCCGGCTCTTGGATCGGTTCACGGCCACGTCCGGGGAGCACATTGAGCTCGTCGAGATGAAGACTCGCAGCCAACACGAGATGAAGAAGAGCCTCACATGATGGGACCTTATGTGGTTCAGTATCGGCGCTTTCATTAGCGCCGAAATATTCGTCCTCACTAGTCTTGAGACTAAGAAACACGCCGGCCCAGCTGTCGTCTTGTCTTATGTCACCTGTCTCCACCATGCTTTCCGTCTTCTATTACACCGAATTTGCCGTGGAGATCCCAGCAGTTGGTACGTGCCCTTTTATATTTGGTCTCTGTTTGTCGACAAAATATTATATATTTTATTATTTATTTTTTAAATTAATTTTTTTTCTCTCTTCTTTAATGAAGTGGGTATTAATTTTTATGTCCCGTCTTATTTTTGTGGTAGAAATAATGGCGTGAAGTGATATTGTATTGAAATTTTTATTATGAGATCTTAATGGGTTGAAACAAAATTTAGATTTTGAATTCAAGAAGTATAAAATATCTATAAATATAAAAGGTAAAAATATTTTGAATTCAATCTACTTTTACAATAATCCAAATTTAAAATTATTCTAGATTCCCTTTTTGATTTTCTAAATTACTAACTACACGAGTCCATTGTAATTATTTGTTCAGGTGGATTATTCGCCTACCTAAGGGTAGAATTAGGAGACTTCATGGCATTCATCGTAGCGGGCAACATCCTCCTCGAATATCCTTTAAAATCGTGATTTGACCTTGGACTCTTTCCAATTCCAGACATGGTGGGATGCGTATAGCCCAAATACATTAAAATAAACCCTAGGCCCAAGCCCAATACATTAAAAAATAAATCCTAGGTATCAGCTACATAAAGCCACCAAACCAGCCACCCATGTAATAGAGCACGAAGCCTGGGACGAGCGAGCCATTCACAAAACCCTAGCCGCTGCCTTGTTCTTCCTATTTATCATCATCTTCTTCTTCTTTAAATCTTGTTGTCGTCCATCGCTCGCGCTGTCCTGCGCCACCATCGCTCACGCTGTCCCGTGCCGTCACCGCACATTGAACGACCATCGCCAATCGCCGTTGCGCATCAAATTGTCATCGTCATCACGAATTGAACACTGTCTTCATCACCAGAACCACTATTTGGAGAAGTAAACGTAACCAAGGTACAATGTGCCAACCAACGAAAGTTACAATGTTGTTTCTTTTCTGAATAGTTCGGATTTGACCCAACCTCTACGTAGGAAGAAGGTAAGCAATAAAACCCTATAATTTGTAGGAGTCGTTGTATCACGTCAAGTTGGGTTGGTTAAACTTAGGTGTTTGAATATGTTTTGTATTGTATGGTTGAGTGTTGTGTGATACGATGTATGCTGACTATAAAAATAAATGTTTGGAGACCTATTGCATGCATAATTATGTTTGGTGATTGAGAATATCTATGATGTGAGTTGTGTGACATAATGTCTAGTTGCTCATGAAAATAAACAGTTTGGGACGTAATGCATGCATGTTATCTTTGAGAATATCTATGAAGTTGCAGTTAGGGTTGCACGCTGGTTGTTTTGGGTAATCAGCCACCAATCTACAAGGTGATTTAAGAAAATGGTTATCAAGGTAAGGGTGAGGTGATTTAAGAAAATGATTATCAAGGTAAGGGTGAGGTGATTTAAGAAAATGATTATCAAGGTAAGGGTGAGGTGATTTAAGAAAATGGTTATCAAGGTAAGGATTACACGCTATGTGTTTCGAGTAACCAACCATTGATAATCATTTTAAGGAGTTAGGATGGATGTTGATTTTCATGTGGTAAGATTACACGCTGTGTGTATCGGGTAACCAGATACTAATGGTCACTCTGCGTGGTGATTGCAGTAAATGATTTACAAGGTAAGGGTTACATGTTATGTGTTTCGGGTAACCAATCATTGATAGTCATTTTAAGGAGTAAAGGTAGATTGATTTTCATGTGGTAAAAATCATTGGTTATGTGTTTGATCTCAAGTGGGGTCACTTCCTGAGCATTTTAAAATACTAAAGTCGTGTGCTACATTTATTTTAGGTAAAGACAAGACGCCTCTATACGGTTGATGATGACATTGCAAGTAAAGACCGTGACACATGCATAGAATAGTGGTATTTAATTTCTTAGACTTTGGGTTAGTATAGGATGTTTTTAATTTTAATATTTTATTGTTTTTATTTAGTTTTGTTATATGGCTTTAAATATTTTTTCAAGCATGTAAGTTCATGGCAATGTTTTATGATGAAGTTTTAAATGTTTATTTTCAGAGAGTATGTTATGATGACATTAGCCACTTTAGGTTAGTATAAATCTAGGGTCATTACAGAGAAAGTGTCACTGCACGGGATGACGATGAATGTTAGAATGGCCATGGAAGTCAAGATAGGATAGTAGTATGCATTGATTTCATTTAGTAGTTGATAGGTGGCTTTTCATTTTTGTATTCAAATACTACCCTATTTCTTGTAAAACTTGTGTTGGATCGATATGACAACCCTATTTCTTGTAACACTTGTTGGATCGATATGACAAATAGGGTTTCAACAATATAATTATTGATTTTTTTTAATAACAATAAAACTTAAAATTTAGAAATTTAGAATTTAAATGGGAAAAATTTTTGTATTCAAATACTACACAGCTCCTTTTATGAGTGCAAGAGCAAACTCAATTCTTTCCATGGCTTAGGATCAAACCGGTACACTGCTCTTTTTACTAGTTCAAGAGCAAACTCAATCATTTCCACGGCTCAGAATCAATCTGGTACAATTGTCTGAAACTTTATATAAACACACCACAACTCCTAGTCTGAAACTTTATATAAACACACCACAACTCCCTAATTTTTACGAGTTCAAGAACAAACTCAATCCTTTCCACGACAATCCTTTCCACGGCTCAAGATCAAGATTTTTACGAGTTTAAGAGCAAACTCAATCTTTTTCACGCTCAGGATCAAACTGGTACAATTGTTTGAAATTTTATAGAAATACACCACAACTCTCATTTTTACGAGTTCAAGAGCAAACTCAATTCTTTCCACGGTCGACCAAATCGGTACAATTGTCCAAAATTTTATAGAAATACACCACAACTCTTTAGTAGATTTACAATTTTCTCACACTACAATAGACATCCCTCTCATAATAAATAAACAATAAATAAAATTGGAAACTAGAAACACACCCTACCACAACTCTTTGAAATAAAATTGGAAACTAGAAACACACCCCACACCAACTCTTTGAAGTGGTAGATTTACAATTTTCTCACACTACAATAGACATCTCTTTCAGAATAAGATAAACAATACAATAGACATCTCTCTCAGAATAAGATAAACAATACAATAGACTTGGGGATCTCTCTCAGAATAAGATAAACAATACAATAGACTTGGGGATCTCTCTCAGAATAAGATAAACAATACAATAGACATCTTTCTCCAAATAAGATAAACAAGAAATAAAATTGAAAACTTGGAGAGAGCAACAATGGAGGCCTTTTTTTTAAAAAAAAAAGTATAGGTAGAGGAAACTATGGAACTCGTGTATTGTGAAATGTTCTGTGTGTTGTGTTATGAGAAGTATGAAATGTTCTGTGTGTTGTTCTGAAAAATATGAATTGAAAACTTGGAGAGAGCACCAATGGAGGCCTTATTAAAAAAAAGTATAGATCGAGGAAACTATGGAACTTGTGTATTGTGAAATGTTGTGTATTGTGTTATGAAAACTATGAAGAGGCGATGAGTTTAAATAGTGATCAAGTTGTAAGAATAAGAATTGATAGGTACCACTAAAACGTGAACTGAAACGTAGACCACGAAAAATAATATTTATTTATTTTTTTTAATTCATCGTCATATATATATATTATTTTAAATAAATATTAAAAACATTTTAAATTCATTTGTAATATATATATATATATATAACATATTTAAATGTAATAATATAATAAAAGAATTGTTAATGAAAACCATGTGAATAACAATTTAAAATTAATTGTAAAGTTTTATAAATTTAATTGAAATCATGATAAATGTAATTGAAATAATTTTATAATTTAAATACTACTTTTTTTAATTTAAAAGTAATTGAAAACTTTTATAAATGTAATTGAAAACTCCACCATTTGTTGCTCTACCAAAGTTATAAATGTCATAGTTCGATTGGTCTGTAATGTCAATTTTGTCGTTGGTCCATGATGTCAATTTTGTCACCACATCATCAATTCAGGTATCTTATTTAGAATTTGATTAGTCTATGATGTCAATTTTGCCACCACATCATCACGTCGGGTATCTTGTTTTGACTAAAACTTCTTCGTTTTATCTCTAATTTGAGTGAACCAAAAAAGACGTTGAAATCGTTATTCCCAACCTCACACTGTATACAAAATACTGAGAATTGTTAATAATTGAAGGTAGGTTTATTATCATAAAAAACATTAATTAATTAATTAATTAAAATTATTTAATTTGAGATTAAGGGCCAAAAAGCCATTAATCTCCCCTTTTTTACGATAGACAAAAAAATTAGTATGAAATTCATAAAACCATTAAACTTAAAATAATGAACATGTCCAAATAATAATATAGTGATACCAATATCTATGCATCATCGGCATTCTAATATATTATCAGAAATTTGAAATTCACTCACATCCATATTCTCCCCCTATATTAATGCTTCAATGAATTATGAAACATCACAACAACGATTCATTAATTATAAAATAACAAATTTAGAGCATATTTTTCCTAATTTTCTCTCCCTTTGTAATCATAGGAAAGAACAATAAAAAATAATAAAATAATGACATGCTCCTCTAAAAACATGTCTTTAAATAAGATTATAAAATTCAAGATATATCACGAGTAATACCAAACTCAAATCCAAGATATATCACACCGAATATACCAAGCTCAAGCCTATTTTTGCAAAAAACTTCTTCATTTTAACAACTTGATAAAAATATCTGCTAATTGATTATTAGAGTTTACAAAATCAAGAATAATATGTTCATTTTGCACATGCTCTGTAATAAAATGATGTCTAATGTCAATATGTTTTAATAAAATGATGTCTAATGTCAATATGTTTAGTTCTAGGATGATGAATAGGATTTTTTGTTAAATTAATATCACTGGTGTTATCACAAAATATAGGCACACTATCAAATTGAATCCAAAATCACAAAGAGTTTGTTTCATTCAAAGAATTTGAACACAATAACTAGCAACCGCAATATATTCCGCTTCAGTAGTAGATAAGGCAACCAAATTTTGCTTTTTACTAAACCAAGAAACTACTACCAAGAAATTGACAAGCTCCACTAGTACTTTTACGATCAATTAAACTTCACACAAAATCTTCATCAGAATATCCTACCAATTTAAACTCAACATGATACCACAATCCTAAATTAATGGTCCCAATCAAATATTTAAATATTCTTTTAACAGCATGTAGATGAGATTTCTTAGGACAAGATTGAAACCTACCACAAATACATACACTAAACATAATATCAGGTCTACTAGAAGTAAGTAAAGTAAAGATCCAATCATACCTCGATAAGATTTTATATTTATACCTTTACCTTTTTCATCCTTATCAAGCTTGGTAGATGTGCTCATTGGAGTTTTTGCAATTTTACCTTCATTGAACTTGAATGTAACGACCCGAAATTTTCTACTTAATTTAAAGTCGATACTGTATACATACCATAAACATTGAACGCGGAAGACTTTATTTAAATTCCATAAAACATAACCTTTATTTTAAACACAGTCATGGACTTACGTGTTTCGAAAACATCTTTAAAACGACACAACAAAAGACTAAATAAAATAAATAAGAGTTTAAGTTAAAAACATCCTATTCTAATCTAAGTTAAAAACATGGTTTCGAGTTGCAATGTCGTCGCCAGTCGTACAGGAATACCTTGCCTTAACCTGAAAAATAAAAATGTAATAGCACATGGCTTGAGTATTTAAAGAAATAATTAGGAAGTGACCCCACTATTCGGGTTAAATGCAACAATCACATGCAATGAAATGATAGGATCTATCTTTCGTTTTGTTTTCCCTACGGTGTTGTCCTAGCGGGTAATTTTGGACGTGTACCATATACTCTACACACAGCCCATACGTGCGGGTATGGGCTCACCAGCTAGTTCGCACACCGCTAGGCCACCTTCCTTATCCGGTGGGCATACTCTGGGAGCCCCTTAGGCCAGACACCCGCTAGAACTAGTAACCGTCACGGTAGCGCTATACAAAGCATAACGATCGTTGTCCTGCCATTGGATGTGTGCGTCCGTACCCTCGTGATGGGATCGGGGTATCCCCCAAATGCATGAGCACACATAATGCATGAGGTCCCAAAACTTTTCCAATTTCATTATCTTTTAATACAATCCCGCTAGCATTATGTACATATCATATCATTTTCATATCGTTTCAGATATCGTTCATCATTCATATCATATCGTTTCTCATTCTTCAATTCTCAAATCATACATAATTCTAACGGGATTATATTCCATAGAGAAGAGGTTCGAGAGGATTCCCAAGCTTGTAAAGAAGGCGATTATTGTTGTTGTAGCGAGCATTGTGGTTGTTGCATTCACTGGAGTGCCAGTCCTTTCATGCACTTTGGCGAACCATGGTGAGATCATGTGGGTTCTGGCAATGTGGGTGAGATAGCGTGTCTGTCCAACAGCATTAACCAACAACACGGTGGTAATGCCTTTAATAGCACCAGCAGCCACAATGTACTTAGCCCAACCCCATCCAACAGCCTCAAAAACTACTGAAAACGGCGCGTCCTCATCAATTTGTTGGTACGACTGCATCAAGCACAAGGTAACTGCAAGAATGCAATAGGCTAATGTGGTGATCACCATTGATCCAACAAGACCAATAGGTATGTCTTTAGTAGGGTTCTTAGTTTCCTCAGCCATTGTCGAAACGACATCGAATCCAACGTATACAAAGAACAAAACGGCAGAGGTTACGAAGATGCCACGGGGGCCATAGGGGGCAAAGGGAGTGAAAGTTTTTCGGGTTGGCCTTGGTGAGACCGGCAATGACAATGA